CCACGTTGGGACGATGGACCCTTGCACCCTGTTTATCTTCCCATAGAACCTCTCATATAACCGAACATTTGATACCCATAAATGTTATTACTATTATATGAATTAAAACTAAAAAATTAGCATTCTAAATTTGAATATTCAAAATAAAATTTAAAAGTATAACTTGCCTAATCCAACAAGCAAACAGACTGTACCACTTGATATTATTATCACTTACGATTAGCATATGCAAATTAAAATTAAAAAGAAAAACAATTACGGAGTATATTTTAAATAACTTTATATTTTTAAATTTAAAACACAATATAGGAAATAGATATTGATAACTATGCTTTCTATTTCTTTTGTCATTTTCTAATAGAAAAAGAAAATTTTAAAAATAATGGTAGATAAAGACAACAATAAAATTTTTTAAAAAATAGAAAAAAAATTTGGAAGAAAAAAGTATTAAACAAGCTTGTATGATAAAGTGTTGAACGTGTTGAGGACACGTTGATAACTTAATACTACCCTTATTTATTATTACACGTACGCAGGCATCATTAAAAACTGGTTTGCTGTGTACCTAAATCAAAAAGATTATTTAAAAAGGTTGTAAAAATGTACAATAATTCAACTATACATTAATAAGCAGTTAAAGCAGTGCAATGGCATCATTAAAATGTGAACTGACGTGTTTATTATTATTATTATTATTATTATTATTATTATTATTATTATTATTACGAGTATTATTTATACAGTAGCTGACAACGATACCCATTGCCAAACCTACATGTAAATTGTGTGGTATTGTCTGCTTCCATTCAATCACTTTATACATACACTCTATGTCCATCACGTTTTCATACACTCTTATGACAAAGTCTCGTAAAATAGCAAATTCTTGTCTCGAAAGATGTGACAAAGTGAGTTGAGGCGTGAATTATGATTCTTATATTTATTGAGTAAGATTTACATAGTACATACCTTCTCCTCCTCGTCCCAAAAAAGAAAAAAAAAAAGATAACACATTCTCGAGAATAAATAAATAAATAAATAAACGTTAAGTATGGATTTACTTCAAATAGTATAATGTTATTATTGTGAGTAATGCTATTTTATATAGGAGTGTTTGGTAAATAGCTCTTAGTTGATTATATTGAGTTAGTGAGTTTGACTAATTGATAACATTAGCTGATTGTAGAAAGATGTTTGATAAATTAATGTTAGCGGATAGTTGATTACATACAAATGACTTTCTCAAAAAGCTAATAGAAAAAATTATTTTGAGCAACTTCTTAAATTTTAGTGTTTGTTGCAAAAAGTTAATTAATCAAACACTCATATTGGTTATTTAATCAAGTCAAACAGCTAACAGTGATCAAACAAGTCAAAATTCACTGATAAACTAACTATTTTACCAAAGATGCCATAATCTTATTTAGTTCAGGCTATGTGATATTCTTGGTACAATCACAATAGAAAATGATGTAATAAAATGAAAGTGATGTGATTATCTACTAATCAAATTATCAAAATGGTTTGCTAACTGCAAAACAATTCATGTGCGGTGTCTATACACACACAAACATATAATGTTTTCAAATATATATTAGGTTTAAATGAGAATTAGGCTCCCCATGATAATATGTATGTGGATTAATCTCATCCATTTATCTATGATTATCAAGTAGTGCTGAAAATTATTGAAAAAAAAAATATTGTGACATTTTTGTAATCATTGCCGTGCATTGGAAAACTATTGATAGTGCATTCAAAGATAACTAATAACGCATGCACTTGAGTACACTATTAATCTATTATAGATATCAAGTGCATTGTTAATTATTCGTGACTGTATTATCAAGCATTTCATAGTGTACGTACCATAATAATAACGAAAATGCCAATGATTGTTTTTTCTTAATTTGTAACCTTTGATCATCCTATATGGATAGATGGAAATAATCCGTAGATTCTCACAATAGTCTAGTTCTTAATGGAGGGTTCAGGTAAGGACAAGCTTCCATGTAAAAAGTAAGAAATTGTCTGATTCATCTATATGGGTACGGTAGATCAACGGTGGATGATTGCTAAAAAATAAAAGAAAAAGAGAACAACCAATTTTATAAATACTAAAATCACACCATTGATGAACTTTAGAAAACGGTCTAAATCTGTCTTTACTTTTTACACGAGAGCTAGGTTGTTCATATGTATTTGACATTTTAATAAGTTTTAGATGATAGAATATTACCTTCACCGCTACACTAAGGATTATTTGCAATCAATGTCTTAAACTTAACCATCAATTCTAAAGGAACTTTAACTCAATTGTATGTATGTGTAAATTCAAAGCTAAGGTATCATTGTTTGTCTTCCTAACTATATAAAACATTCCTTTTACACTTTCAAACTTGTCTTCATTCTAAATTAGTAAGCAAGAAGTTGGTTACGTACTCTTGGGTTTTCTTTTCTTTTCGGTCATAAATTACAACAATTGAAAACAAACACGACAATATAATAACATGATATACCCAGTTTATTTGTCATAAAGTCCCCATAAAAAGTATATATAATTTGCAACTCACACTTATTTGCCTATACTAGTATACTATTCGAAGTTACCTAACAAATGTCCAAAGTGCAATTTAATAGTAATTTATATTCCTTAAAATTTTAATTACAGGACATGATATATTTGAATTCGAATATATCACCTTCATCAACCACCTATAATCTAAGAAAATGATTAGTGTGGCTTCCGGAGTACCGCTCAACATGTCGATTAATTTAAAATAAGTTAATTAGTTTTATTTTGCCATAATGTGTGATTCAGTTAGTGTATCAATATATTCATTAATGAGGGTTTTTGATAAAAACAACTTATCAACTTTTTTTTTTGAATGCTACTGACTCTATTATATTGTAATATCTGTTCACACATACTTACTTTCTCAACCAAATGAAGCACACAGAGTCAACGCCGCCTCCAATAAGTTAATTTATTTTGAAGACAAAATGTCAAATTTTAATATGTAAACAAACTAATTTAAATGTTATGAAGATGTCTTTTTTTGTCATTTTACATTTATCAACTTATCAAAAAGTTAATTTTACCAAACACTTTCAAGCATAACAGCTCTTCAGTTTTCAGCTCCTAGCTCCTAGCTTTTCAGCTTTCAGCTCATTTTAAGCTTTCAGCTACATTTTCAGCTAGGTTTACCAAACAAAGTCTATAGCTTATTAGTAGCTTAAAATAAGTTATGCCAAACAGAGCCTAAGGTACCAGTAATTAATATAACTAGTATGTCACCCGTGCGATGCATATAGACTATGTTTGGCAAACCTAGTTGAAAAGGTAGCTGAAAGCTGAAAAGCTATAAGTTAGGAGCTAAAAATTGAAGAGTTGTTAAGCTAGCTGTTATGCTTGAAAGTGTTTGGTAAAATTAGCTTTTTGATAAGCTAATAAATGTAAAAAGATAAAAAAGGACATCTTCATAAAATTTAAATTAGTTTATTTACATATTAAAATTTAACATTTTGAAATAAAAATTATTAGCATAATCATGATCTAGCATCCCATAATGGAGTAGCAATATTGTTGCGAATCTCCTTCATCTCATAATAATAATCCTTCTATATAATAAAGTAATAGAACTTTGGCCAATCAGATTATGGTATTTTTCAGCCTAGCAAAAGTGACGCCGTTTTGGATGATTTTTTTTAAGGTCATCTCTGGGGTTTATTTATGTTAAGCGATTAAGTGAGAATTTATTCTTCAAATCTTAATATACCAACGTGGTATGCACCTAACTAATCCTATACAATATTATTCACAACCCTATTTGAAGAATCCTCCCTAAACTAATTCTATACAATATTATTCACAACCCTATTTGAAGAATCCTCTTTGTAAGTCAATGAGGAAGATAACTTCATTCACAATGGTGTTGTCATACATTATGACAATCAACAAAAGTCAAGGACAAACGTTATCCCAAGATTATTGTATTTTGAATTCCATCAAGTTATTTTACTTTTAGTCACTATATGTTAATCATTTTATATTTCTTAATTATACTATAACCAAATGCTCTGTCGGGCCGGGGTGTGGGGGGCCCTTAGGGTTGGAGTTCAGCCTTTTGGAAGAATTATACACGGGTGACATACTAGTTTCTAAAACAGCGTCACTTTTACTAGACAGAAAAAAATACCATAATCTGATTGGTCAAAGTTTTATGACTTTATTATATGAATTAATTTCACTTTTGGTCCCACGACTTTAGAGGATCTATCACTTTTGGTGCACAACTTTAAAAGTTTTCAATTTTGGTGCCTAACTTTGTTGTTTTTATCAATTTTGGTCCTTTCAACCAAATTGACGATGAAATATTGCCGGATTTTATATTTTTAGGGGTAAAATCGTCATCCCAAGGAAACATCTTCAATATCTAAACAAAATCACTCTAAAATCATATCTATAAGTGTTTGATCGATGAGAATAATTGGGAAGACGGACAGAAACTAGACACAGATCTATGAGATTTATAGCATCGACGATTGCCAAACTCTTATATTTCTCTTAACATGATTTTTCTTTTGTTTGGATATTGAATATCTTTCCTTGGGATGACGATTTTGCCCCTAAAATGTAAAATCCAGCAATATTTCGCAGTCAATTTGGTCGAAAAGACCAAAATTGATAAAAATAACAAAGTTAGACACCAAAATTGAAAAAATTTAAAGTTGTGCACCAAAAATGATAGAACCTCTAAAGTCGTGGGACCAAAAGTGAAATTAGTTCTTATTATATAGAAGGGACGCTAACCTTGATTTTCTTTTATAACCCTAACATTATTAGTTTTTATTACGTTTACTAGATGTATGTATGTATATTATGTGTTTGTTCATAAAACAAAGTAACGTAGCGTTAATGAACAACCCACCGTGAGAGTACGTGTTGGAGGCACGGCGCAATCTTATGGCTATATATGATGATGATCCCATTCAATTCTCTTATTAAAACCAATCTGTCATTTTCTTCCCTTCTCTCTCCATCGCCATAACTATCTCCTGGGCTTCCACGATAACTCATTTAAGGTTGCTTAGCTTTAATTTGCTTTTCCCCAGAGAACAACTTTGTCATTATATTCCCAGATATATAGTTTAACTTCTTGAGAGAGCTGAAATGGGAACACTAAGACTGCGTTTGGCTCTGGGGTTTGCCATAGTTTTATGCAGTTTCTTCTTCATGTTCCATGTTCATGGACAAGATCACCATGATCAGATTAGAAAAATTCAGAATTTTCGTGATTCTCTTGTCCAAACAGGCCCCATCCCTCCTTCTACCAGCCCAGATTCTCCATTGCCAAGACCTACACAAGCTCCAACTCCATCTGTAAGTATATATATATCTTGCATAATATATATAAATAATAAATTTTAAATTTTTAGTTGAAAGTAACAATTTGTTGTGTGGGATTAATATAATGGTGTGATGTGAATAATGTAGGTCGTTGGATCTTCTCAACCAAGTGTGTATCAGGTGACATCGTACGGTGCAGATCCGACCGGAAAAGAGGATAGTACTGAGGCGGTGATGAATGCGATTACAGACGCTCTTAATGGCCCCAGTGATGGGTTCTTGTTTTCCGGCATTCAGAATCTCGGCGGCGCACGAGTTGATCTTGAAGGTGGGACTTACGTCATTTCCCGGCCGCTGCAGTTTCCGGTGGCCGGCCGCGGCAATCTCATGGTGAGACCAACCATACTTAGAATAATAATGTTGCCGTGCGTAAAAGAAAACGTTGGTGTAACAGAATCTCAGTTTATTTGGTAGGCTAAGTAGCCATGTCCTGAAAATGAAAGGCCAACTACTCATCTTCCCACAATTTAATTGCATTAATTAATATAGCTTTTCTTTTATTTAATAGCTTTTAAATTTAGTCCTACTTTCACAGTCTATAATATTAAATACGGACGGTCAGTTATGCCCTGCTCAGCTAGTCTGCATGTGCAGCTCAATTGATAGTAGGAGTAAAATTTATTATAAGAAATTAAGAATCAAATCTCATACAGTGATAGTGAAGGAGTAATCTTTCAAAATGAAAGGACTCCATACGTGACATGAACAAAAATCTAACTTGTTGGTCAGTTGAGTGGACCTTCTCATTTTTCATTGGGAACTTGGGGTGTGGGACCGCAGACCGTTTAATTTCTTTTGGAACCTGGGGTTATAAGGAGACATTAATGAGTTGTTTACCAAAGTGAAAAAATGAAACATTTTTTGAAGAAATAGAAAATTAGAGAGGTTGAAAAAAAAAAAAGGAAACCTTATGTACTAAATTTATTCCTTCAAATTCATATTCCTATTCCATCCCCATTCTACACTTTTCTTAAAGATTTTAGAAAATTAATAAACAAGCTTCTTCAAATGAAGAAATGGAAAGGCACGAATGAACATGTACTGGCCCCTAAGTATTTAGAGGTGATGAAGACATTTTGTGAGTCAAATGTGGTGGAAATCTAAGACTGATAGAGTGACTGGCGATTTATCTACTCCTTTTTAGATCAGAGCTTAGGATTGGTCCGAATTTTTGTTTGCCCATTTTGTTTTTAAAAATTGTAGTAATCTAAAGGATTTGATTTGGTGCAACAGATTCATGGTGGAACATTAAAGGCGTCGGACATTTTCCCGGGGGACAAATATATCATCGATTTAACGGCGGCCTCCGGCGGCGGTCCGGCGTATAGTTTTGAGTTTATAACCTTCAGAGACCTATTGTTGAACTCTAATTTCAGGGGAGGAGGGATTCATGTAGAGAACTCACTAAGAATCAGCATCGATAATTGTTACATTACCCATTTCACCACAAATGGCATTTTGGTCAAAAGCGGCCACGAAACCTACATCAGAAACACCTTCCTCGGCCAGCACATCACCGCCGGCGGCGATCCCGGCGAGCGGAGTTTCTCCGGCACGGCCATAAATTTAATGGGGAACGATAACGCCCTCACGGACGTGGTGATCTTCTCGGCCCAAATCGGGGTCATGATTTCCGGCCAAGCTAACCTCCTCTCCGGCGTGCATTGCTACAACAAAGCCACCGGGTTCGGCGGCACCGGAATCTACGTAAAACTCCCCGGCAAAACTCAGACGAGGATCGTGAATTCTTACATGGATTACACCGGAATCGTCGCCGAGGATCCCGTCCAATTCCACATCTCCAACACCTTTTTCCTCGGCGACGCCTCCGTCGTACTAAAATCCGTGAACGGGATCATCGGCGGCGTCAACATCGTCGACAACATGTTTTCCGGCTCCGGCAAGGGGATCGACATCGTGAAATTGGACCAGAAAAACAAGGCGTTCACGGCGATTGATGACGTCGTCGTGGATAGAAACAACGTACGAGGGATGAAGCTCAGATCCACCGTTGGTCGAGGGAGCGTTCAAGGAAACGGAACGAAATGGACCATCGATCTTAGCCCGGTTCTTCTCTTCCCTAATTTTGTTAACCACGTTCAGTACAGTTTTAGTTCGAGTGGAAACTCGTTTCCCAAACACGCGCTGAGAAGCACGTCGGACAACCGAGTTGTGATTGAGTCCGACGTGGAAGTGGCGGCGGAGGTTTACGTCACGGTTGATCAGAGCAAGTCTTGATCTAAGATTCTAAAGTGACGCTTAAGTTTTAGTGTAAGGCAAAATTGTGTATAACTTCAAAGTATACATTCTTTGGAAAGACAAGAAAATGTTTAAAGAGTTCTTTGGAACCTTTATTTCCAATCAAGAAGTGTACTCCAAATTCCAAAGTGTAAATTTGGAAACGGTTACATACCGTTCTAATAAAATATTTTATGGAGGGTTGGTAGTTATTCCAAGCATTAAAGTTCGTGGTATCGAAACAAAGAGTTGCATCTATTTCGTTTCTTGAGATAAGATAGGAGACTATCGTTTTCAATTCTTTCAAAAGATTGAATTCTCAACTCCAAGAGAATTTTCTACATCCTAGTCTGATAGAGTATTTTTTTTTTTAAAGTATTTTAAGATTGAAAACTTATTATTTGATTCTTTTTTAATGAGAATTGTACTAGCTTGGCTAAGGATTGGGATGGGGTTACTTATTCTAAATTTTTTTTTGAAGGGACGAAGGATGAGGTTCAATTTCTCAAAAATTGTTCACAAGGACAGGAAATCGAGAACAAAGAATATACTACCCCTCCCCATTTTGCCCCGTGACCACCCCTAAATTTATGTTATTGTTGATAGAATATTACGTATTATACAAGTCCAACATATTCCGCAGCGCAAATTATGCCATGGAATCGTGTTCACCGAGAATGGTGAACACAAGGCAAAACGACGTCGTTTTTAGGTCAAAAAAAAAATTTCGCGGATGTGGAGTTAACGGCGCACGTTTGATCAAATTATGAATTTTCTGTTATGAGATTATGAATTTTATGAATCTCATAACAGAAAATTCATAATCGCATAACAGAAAATTCATAATCTCACAACTGAAAATTCATAATCTCATAACAGAAAATTCATAATCTTATAACAGAAAATTCATAATCTCATGGTTCCAAAGTGAATGTGTAGGCATGGTTCCAAAGTGAATGTGCAGGCATGGATTCATAATTTATGAATGTCCGTGATTTCGGACGGGAATATGTAGGCATGGTTCCAAAGTGAATGTGCAGACATGAATTCATAATTTATGAATGTCCGAAATTATGAATGTAATGAAAATTCATAATCTCATAACGGAAAATTCATAATCGCATAACAGAAAATTCATAATCTCATAACTGAAAATTCATAATCTCATAACAGAAAATTCATAATCTCATGGTTCCAAAGTGAATGTGTAGGCATGGTTCCAAAGTGAATGTGCAGCCATGGATTCATAATTTATGAATGTCCGTGATTTCGGACGGGAATGTGTAGGCATGGTTCCAAAGTGAATGTGCAAGCATGAATTCATAATTTATGAATGTCCGAAATCTTTGTTCACCTCAAATTAAAGTGAAATCGCAAAATGTGAAAATAAAGAAGAAAAGTCACGCAATTAATTAAAAAAAAAAAAAAAAAAAGAAGATAACGGTGTACTAACACCGTTAGAACCGTGTTCACCATGAATGGTGAACACGGTTCATGGCATAACGTCTGATTTCGCAGATACAAATCACAATAGTGGTTGTAACTTGAAAGCCCAAGTTGCTTAGAATCTTGTGCTATTACTCTCTTAAATAAATACCATCAACCGAATTTTTAAGTATAAAATAAATAAGGTAAATTAAAAAAAATAAAATGGCAACCACTCTAATACATCCATTGAGCACGCGAGTTTCCCTCACGTATAGAGAAAAAATAAAAACTAAATATTTTCTCTCATATCCATCATGTCACATTTTCTCTCATCCATATAGAGAAAAAAAGTTCAAAAAAAAAAAAAAATCCATTTTTGAAAATGCTCTTAACTTGGCAAAGCAAGTCTTAAACTTTGGTCTTGACGAAACATTGAATATATTTTTTTGTGTCATATGTGATATTCATGTTCATACTTTATAGTAAAAAAAAAAAAAAAAATCAAACGAATTACTTCATTGTCATCACGAGTGACATTTGCATTTCACGCTATGAAAGTACTTAAATAGTTGTGTCATCACACGATAGATACAAATTTACATACAAACAGCACACCTATACGTGAAAGTGGCACACTAAAACTAGTTTGAAACTTGACATAAAACACATCATAGTCTCACCATAGGCCAAACATTTGCTGTTTCATGTAAACATAACCGGTTCCACGTATCAACTCACCCAGGCCAAGGAAGGCCGCTTTTCACCCTTGCCATATTCGTATTCATCTTCATCTTCTTCGCTGCTATCACCATAGTAATACTCGTACTCATAATAGTCATCATCGTCTTCATTATCATATAACAGTTCTTTTATATTCGTAGTGCTTATCTGTTCTTGGATTCGGTCCCTGATGGCGGTGCCCTGGAAAAGACCCAAAATATATGCAGTGTTCAGTTGTAGTCAACTCCATATATGAACATTCATCACATGAAAAAACCCAGAATCTATCGATTTATATATGACGGTTCTCAGTTGGGAGTATCTGGTTATGTGTCGATTTCTTTCCCTGTCAAACACAGAGATAGAGAGTGCTAACCATTTTGTGGCAACCTTCTTCAAACATTTCGAGAAATCCAGCAACTAATCGGTCGGCATTCTCAACCCACAAATTACGACGCATCCGAGCTGTTTTTGCCACAGTTTGTATCTGCAACCAAGAAAAAAAAAACACCCATTTTATGTTAATTAGTTGTCAAGGAAGGAACAAGTAAAGATTGATGCTATTACAGAGAATGTGCCTCGAACAGAACTTGCAATTTCAAAACACGAGAGAAGTAATAATACTAATACAAAGAAATCAAATTCTATTCTCTTTTTTTTTTTCTTCTATATTTCTTTGAACTCTGGTCTATAGCCTTTAGTTACATAGAGACATCAATTTGGATGGTTTACATCTCAACACATCCAAACTGTTCACTGTTCTACTGCCAATTTTTTGGTCAGGCCATGAGGTGTCCTGAGCAGGCCCTAACTGTAGGAGGCATCTTTAAGCCCGTACCATACTCAGATTAATCCCCATTCGCACCGGGCCGGCCCAATTAAGGGGCAAAGTGTTGGCCAAGTGGCTAGATTGGTTTTTCCATACGGGAGGGGTTTCGAACTCCCAACCTCTCTTAAGGGATGAGAGTGCACGGCTACTCACGCCAACCAAGCTGGTTACTGTTCTACTGCCAATTAGTTTGAACAGTTTGCACTTTAACCTACTTTTAGTAGATAAAGACGGGTTGAAAGTGGGTCAATAAGTTTTTTTTTTTTTGGTATAACCCCGTGTATCCACAGTAACTAACCCCCTCGCTGAAATGTAGCACCTCTAAGGGTGGGACAGCTAGATTGGAGAGAAAGTGGGTCAATAATGGATTATATAGAAATTAACATATTTGACATTAATTTTTGAACTTAAGTTTTCTTTCTTTTAAATAATGAAGTTTTAACATAAATTGTTAAAATTTGATAGCGAGGCGAAACACATTTACCTACCAAATATAACACAGTTAAATTTGCCAGGTTAAAATCAACACAAGTTTCCTTTGGCCTATTTTGGCTCGCCAAAATATCCCCCGAACCATCTACTTGTGACCTATGGTGAGAATTTAAGCTCAAACTATGAAAGGGAACATATTGCATACCTTCTCTTCCACTCTCTCTTGTTGCTTCTTTACTCTCTCTTGCAACGTCTTCAAACCCCTGTTTACTCTTAACCTTTTCTCCTAAAGGGAAAAACAATAGTCGACAATAAGAAGATAATTTAAGTCTTATATACTCGAAGAGCAGCAGGTATCGTGGATAAGAATACTACCTTCACATAACTCAAACCGAGATCTTTTCTTGAATATCCTCTGTCCAAATTACGCATCACATACTCATTGTAATCTTTTATAATCCTCATTATTATATCTGATGTGGATATTCCATCAGTCCGTTTTGTCTCCTTGAATTTTCCAACGGCCTTGACCTGTATTAAGAAACATCCTTGTTAAAAAAAACAAAAAAAAAAACAAAAAACAAAAAACAAAGAACCCTCACAGCAGCTATACGTTAAGCTTGTTTAAATAATGTTCTTATAACCAAAGGAGTGAAGCAAAATGCCATATCGTAACAGAAAGGCAAACAAACCAAAATATACTCGTTGAAAAGGTACAGGAAGTGGTACAACTTAGTTAGAGAAAAAAATGATGTTAAAGTAACATCACTTAGAAGAGCTTTTACTCTCCGCAAAGGTAGAATGCTGAACGTAATCTTGAACTTACAAACTCATAAACATCGTTTCCAGCCCCGCTTGCATCAGCATAACTGGCATGTAAACATGGGAGAAAAGCCGACATACTTTAGATAAATCAGCAAAACAGAAAAGTGCAACAATGCATGAGATAAAGGTGTCATCTATGTTCTCCTAAAAGAACTCATTCCAATAACAAGCATTATTGTTACTATATATGAATCAATTTCTTGCATAGATGATCTACAAATAACCATATCTTGACAGATGGAGAAGTCCTTGGATCTAGTAACACACATAATGTTGCACATTCAACTTAAGTGAGAAATAATATGTATAGTACAATTTTAGAATTAGCTCCTTGTGTGAACAAAGGAAACTAGACAAGCACAAACGCTGAAGGTTTGGAGCTGGTTAGCCTTACGGAAGAGAATCATGAGCCACATAATCAATCTGATGTTTCTCAAGGAATTCGGGAGTGACCACCCAAGGTGCATCTGGAATAACTTCATCAACCCACCTGCAGAAAACAAGAAAAGTTACCAATGAAAAAATTTAAATAAATAAACAATTGGGGATAGGAGGGACACCATCTTAGAAACAAATAAAGACCAAAAAACTCAACTTTTGGGACGGGGGGAGGGCAATGGGTGGGAACAACCTAAACCAAAGAAAACAGCAGGTAGTAGACTACAGATCATACTATTTCTTCCCAACAAAATTTTGAAGTATTCGATTTAGGACCTGAGCATTACCTTTATAAAAAAAAAACATTTATAGAGCTTACATATACTCTGGTAAATTTGAAGTAAATTACTTAGGTAAAACATTATCGGGAAAATCTTTAACTTCTATTTTTCGGTAAAACAGAACACAAAGCTTGAAGTTTTCATTAAATGCATATATTGTCATAGAACCAACTTGCAGTGACGAAGAGATTCATATCGCTCCTTATCGGTCATAACAGTCTTGCCCTTGAATTTGTTAGTGACTTCATCATTGCAACATCCAACAAGAAGATATGTGTTTGGAAACCTGCATTTTATGCATTTAATATCATAAGGTTAAACGGAACTTCTGTTCAGAAGCATAAAAAATTCAAACAAAAAAAAAAAGCCTTTGCTTTGAGGCAAGTAATAGTTTTTACAAAATAAAATGCAAAGTTAGAGAGTTCAAATAACTGGAAACTTGCTGGTAATCAGGTTATCCAAGGCCATTACTCAGAAATTCACTTGTTACATCACACCTCAAGATTAAATGCAGATCATGCAAACTAAGAATTTTATTGATTCCTCATTGACAAATATCAGTATAGCACCTGGTTAATAGCCTAATAGGAGTGGAACCTATAAAGAAACTTAATGAAATCATTCTCATATCCAATGCTTATGAAACCAAGGCCAAGAAAAGCAATGTGTGATCAAAGGTTTCCATCATTGACAGTGAATCATTACAGTTCAGAGGTGGAACAAAAGCCCTTCAATTCCCAGAAGGGTAGCAAAAGAATATTTTAAGTAGGAAAAACAAAACCTCTGCAGTAAAAAGAATATTACTGTTTGAAGCTCAGTTTCAAGATAGAATTTTTTGTACAGACGAAGAACTCAAAATTCACATAAAAGCCTCCAAAAGTTAACAGGGGAAAATGAACAAACAGCTAATACTCATACTCAAATTCCTTCTCGATAATCCCTAAAGCTAAAACAAAACTGTAGAAAACACACAAAATCGGTCGGACCTTTTTAAGACTCCCCACTTAAACGACTGAATTGGAATTCCAACAGCTCGGAAATAGCAACACCAAAAAAAAAAAAAAAAAAAAAAAAAAAAAGAAACGAAGAACATAAATAAAGTTAAATTTACAGTTTCTTGGCTTGTTCGAGAGATCGGGCATGGCCAAAGTGGAAGAGGTCGTATATTCCGTCGGCATAGACGCGAACCGGCCGGTCGGTGGGCGGTTCAGCGGCGGCTGACATTGCTAGATTGCTCGGCTCTTGCTTCTCTCCATCTTCCATAATTTTGTGTTCCGGCGCGCGTGAAATTTCTCAGCCTTGGCCCTTGGGGAAAACTTTATTTTCTTTTTACAATTTTTTTTTTAAATTTTTAATAGTATCAGTTCATATATACCTTTTCAACCTATTAAAATATAAAGAATCAATTCTCACTAGGGCTATTCTTATCCTTGACTCTTTGGGGAAAGTTTTATTTTTTTTCAAATTTTTAATAGTATCAGTTCATATATACTTCTTCAACCTATTAAAATATAAAGAGTCAATTCTCACTAGGGCTATTCTTATTCTTGATTCTTTGGGGAAAGTTTTATTTTTTTTTACAATTTTTTTTCAAATTTTTAATAGTATCAGTTCATATATACTTTTTCAACCTATTAAAATATAAAGAGTCAATTCCCACGACGACTATTCTTATCCTCGACTCCCTACAATACTATCTCACTTTCAAAAATAGATCCCTATTTCAATCTATCAAATTTGTAAACTTTTATTATTTTATCTATGCAATACTAACTCACCCTAAAAAATGGTCCACTTATATTTTATATAATATATAATAAATATAATAATAAAATAACAATTACAAATAATATAGGAAATAAAAATTAATTACAAAACTTGCTATTATAACAAATTTACAAGTCACATAAACTAACAAAAAAAAAATGCAAGTCACATAAACTAACAAAAAAAAAATTATATTACCTTTCACGTCATCTTGAAAGGGATTTATTTGTTAGACTGAGAATAACCTAAGCAAGCATATACTCCAAAGTTCAAATAATATACCCTTTTCCGAGGAAATTTGTGATTTTCCATATATTTTTATATACATCAAATTTCCCGGCTAGAAAGTTCCATAGCTCTACCCAATTTCCATTTTGTTTTTCTTTTCTCTTTCTTTCCGTCTTCAAGTATTTTTCTTTCAAATGTGGTCAATTGGAATCAATTCATTATATCTTTAAATCTAATAAAAATATTATATTTTTCTACTAAAATTATTTTGAAAAATGCTTCTTTAGCTATATTTTTCACCTGTCTAGCATCACTTTTTCTTGATGTTACTAAGTAATTAAAAGACCCACTAAATAAGGAAAGAAGGTAGAATAGTTAACACTTTTTTTTTTTTTTTTTGCTAAAAGCATGATTTGACATTTTATAAATTACACGATAAATAAAATGTTGTGACAAGTGGAAGGGGGTCTACGACTATTAGGACTCTATTATCCATATTAGACTAGAACTATATTATTCGTGTTAGACTAGGATTCTATCTAGTATCTCTATATATTCGCTCCCTGTACTCTCAGACATTATAATTGAATACAACACAATTATATTCTCAGATGGTATCAGTTAGCCAGAGTTTTCTTTTCCAACATCCATGTTCCTCACTTCGTAGCAGTAGCCGATGACATCAAACCAAGATACATCATATCAGAAGTGGTCCGGTCAACGACGTGATGTTGATGATCCGTGTCAAATTTGTAACGGTTTCGGCCACACGGGAGCCAATTGTGTTTGACGTTATGATGATCCGTGTCAAATTTGTGACCGTTTTGGTCACACGGGAGCCAATTGTTTTTGGCGCTATGATGATCCGTGTCAAATTTGTAACCGTTTTTGTCACACGGGAGCCAACTGTTTTCAGCGTTATTCAAGGGCTCCGGGTTTTCAGGCTAATGTGGCCGTCTCTGGTGATAATGGTGATTCCAACGGTCCTCATCAGTGGTTCCCTGACACTGGTGCTACAAATCATGCAACGCCTGATTCTTCTTTGATGACTTCTGCGACAAGTTATGATGGCCCGGAGACTCTGCGAGTCGGAAATGGTACAGGTTTGCCTATTGTTAATGTTGGTTCTACTTCGTTAGCCACTGATTCTATGTCTTTTAAGTTACATGATGTTTTGCATGTCCCTGGTCTCTCTTCTTCTCTATTATCTGTCCAGCGTTTTGCAAAGGACAATAATGTTTTCTTTGAGTTCCACCCTCTTTGTTTCTATGTGAAAAACATTTTGACCAAGAAGGTTCTTTTTAAGGGACATGCGTCTGGGGGTCTCTACACATGGCCTACGTCTTCTGCTTCCCCTGCTGCATTTGTTGTTGCACGGTCCTCTTACGTTTGGCACATGTAGTTGGGGCATCCTCATTCTCGAGTCTTACGTAAAATTTTAGCCTCTTCGTCTGTTGGTACATTTAATTCTAGTGATCTTCCCAATGTCTGTTTCTCTTGTCAATTAGGAAAATTTTCTCGTTTTCCTTTGTCTCGTGTCGAAACTACTAGTACGCATCATTTGGAATTAATTTATTCAGATATTTGGGGCCCTGTGCCATTACTTTCTGCGTCTGGCTTTAAATATTTTGTGTTGTTTGTGGATGATTACACTCGTTATATGTGGTATTATCCCATGCGTGCTAAATCTGATTTGTATGCTATATTAGATAAGTTTCGGTCACAAGTTGAACGTTCCTTTTCTCGCAAGATTATTTCTTTTTAATCTGATTTAGGGGGAGAATATATAAAGCTTGGTTCCACTCTTTCGTCTTTAGGTATTCGTCATAGGCAATCATGTGCGTATACTCATGAACAAAATGGCAGGGTAGAACGTAAGCATAGGCATGTTGTTGAAACGGGACTAGCATTAATGGCTCAATCCTCTGTTCCGTCTCATTTTTGGGATTATGCTTTTGAAACTGCGGTTTATATAATCAATAAAATGCCCACTCCTGTCTTATCTGATAAATCTCCTCATTATCTTTTGCATCGGTCTCCTCCATCTTATTCATATTTGCATGTTTTTGGGTGTTTATGCTTTCCAAATCTGCGTCCCTATAATCGCAACAAACTACAGTTTCGGTCATCCCCTTGTGTCTTTCTAGGATATCCTCCATCTTTTCGTGACTATCGTTGTTTATACACTAACACTAACAAGGTTTTTATCTGTCGCCATGTGCGATTCGATGAGGCTGTCTTTCCTTTTGTTGCTTCTGTGGATTCGCAGGTTCCAAAACCACGTTCGGAGCCGTGGGGTGTTGCACCAATTGTTTCTGGTGGTGATCTGACTATTTTCACGACTCGTGACCCTCCTGCCGCGCCCATAGCCGCTTCTGACCACCACTGCCAGCAGCCTGTTACTGCCGAGCCCGTGACCGAGTCCGAGCGGACAATCACGGACCAGTCGTCTCCTCGGCCAAGAGGCTGGCCTCGTGGTCGGTCTCGTCACGTGCCCTCACCCGTTCGCTCTTATAGAATGAATACGAGAAGTTCGGGACCACATGATCATGTTGCTTTATCTAATGCTGCTGTTACTCCTGAACCTACATGTTTTACTCAAGCGGTTAAATTTCCTGAATGGCGGGATGCAATGGATTTGGAATTTAATGCCTTAGTGCACAACAATACATGGAGGCTTGTTCCCTTTAAATCAGGTATGAATGTAGTTGGATGTAAGTGGGTGTTTAGAACCAAGAGAAAGATCGATGGTTCGATTGAGCGTTACAAGGCTCGGTTAGTTGCCAAGGGATTCAATCAAATTGCCGGCGAGGATTTCTTTGAGACCTTTAGTCCCGTTGTTAAACGGACTACGGTACGTCTTCTTTTATCCTTAGCTATTTCTCGTGGATGGACTATTCGACAGTTGGACATACACAATGCTTTTCTAAATGGCAATCTCGCTGAGACGGTTTATATGCGCCAGCCCCCTAGTTATGAAGACAAAACGATGCCCGGGCACGTTTGTCTCCTTCAACATTCTTTATATGGGCTTAAGCAAGTTCCCCGTGCTTGGTTTACTCGTTTGCATGATTTTCTGGTTTCTGCTAGTTTCTCACATTCCAAGACGGATGTCTCTCTATTTATGGGATCTGATCCGGCTCATGTGACTGCTCTATGGGTGTGCCCTCGTTCTTTCTAGGTATTGAGACCATTCCGTTGTCTGTTGGTATGCTTCTGTCTATGTTTCTGTCTCAACAACGGTACCGGCTCATGTGACTGCTCTATGGGTGTGCCCTCGTGACTGCTCTATGGGTGTGCCCTCGTTCTTTCTAGGTATTGAGACCATTCCGTTGTCTGTTGGTATGCTTCTGTCTCAACAACGGTACATGAAGGGTGGTTGATTGCAAGCCCGTGGCTACTCCGAAGGCTGAGACTGCTTCTGTCTCAACAACGGTACATGAAGGGTGGTGCTGAGACTGCTTCTGTCTCAACAACGGTACATGAAGGGTGGTTGATTGCAAGCCCGTGGCTACTCCGAAGGCTGAGACTGATGCCCTGGTACCAAGCCCGTGGCTACTCCGAAGGCTGAGACTGATGCCCTGGTACCATCCGGTTTCAACCACGAAGGCTGAGACTGATGCCCTGGTACCATGTGGCTGAGACTGATGCCCTGGTACCATACGTGATCCCACTCAGTATCGCAGCTCTAGGGTAATTTCTTAGTTTTATTATTCTATTAATTTTTTGTTCTTAATATTTTTTTTTTTTTTTGAAAGCTACTAGCTCTATTAGATTGTAGTATCTATTCATATACTTTCTCAACCTACTAAAACACAAAGAGCTAATAACGCCTCCACTGAGGCTCGAACTTACAACCTTCCAAATGGAAGTCCAACCCGGATACCATTATACCACATAGTCCTGGTTTGTTCTTAATATTCATTAATATGTGTTTTCTTAATGGAAAATGATTATTTAATGACATTTTTCATCCTCTAGCATCTCTTTGATGTTCTAATAAGTTAAAATGACTCACTAAATTTAAAAAATTAAATAGTTAAAACATTTTATTAGTGAAAAGCATTCTCAAGTATAACAATAAAAAAAAAAACACAATAATAAATAGATAAAAATCTAGCATGGTTATTATTATTATTATTATTATTATTATTATTATTATTAACTTGTAAAGAAATCAATAAATAAAGAATTTTTTTTATTTTTTAAAATAATGTCATGTCAATATTAGGGAAAGATTAAAGAGGAAAGGTAGCTAAGTTAAGTCATTGTCAAGTTATAAGTAATTAATATGAAATGTAGCTTTTCTCAACCCCATCCAAGGCCATCTACTAATCCAAAAACTCCAACGTGTCAATATATGACAGATGTATCAAATTCGATTGCAATTTATCCAAATGGTCTTTTAAAGGGTGATTGAAACAATCTACCACATTAAAACAATTTATGGCTCTCTCAAATCCACCTTAAGGCCATGTTTGGTTCGAAAAAATATTTGAGGAAAAATGGAATTGAAATTCTAAAAAAATGAGTAGAATTGTATAATTAAATATTTTAATTATTTGCATTCAAAAAAAAAATATTTTAATTATTTTATTTAGAATATTAATATATAATAATATAATAACAATTTTAAATTAAAAAAAAAAAACTAATAAGATATCAAAATAACTCACCAAAGTCTTGTAATTCAAAACAACAACAACAACAATAATAATAATAACTGGTGGTGGTATGGCGGTGATGGTGGTGGCGACGGTAGTAGTGAAGTCTTGTACTGGTGGTGATGATAGTGATAGTGGTATGGTGTTGATGGTGTTGGCGATGGTGGTGGCAGTGGTTGCGATGGTATGGTGGTGGTGGTGTGGTCTTGTCCTGGTGGTAGTGATGGTGGTAGTATGATGTTAGTGTAAAAGTTGGAAAATGACTTCCCAAAAAAAAGGAAAGTCATTTTCCTCCAAAATAAGCCTATCTGGAAACCCGGAAAATGATTTCCGTTGACTTGATTTTCCAAACACATCCAAATACTGGAAACCCGGAAAATGATTTCCAAAAATTATTTTCCAAGTTTCCAAACACACCCTTAGCTTTAGTGTCACGAAAACAGAGTGGCCTGCAACTCATCACATTTTCTTTTAGCTTAAACATTAAACTGATAACACTGTAAATATAACTTCAGCTTGCCTGTATACACTATACTGTGCATTTACATAGCTCCATAAACAAAGTCCAGAAATTCAGTTCAAAACCTGGATGAAAACTGTTATTGACATAGGCTCCATCTCAACTAAAAGACTAAGCGAAGCAGGGATAGCTCTGATACCAAATTGAAACATGTGCTCCATTGCAACTAAATGCCTACTGATAGTTGGACTGTACATTTATGTTTATATATTATATTATATGCCCAACACTGACGCTGGAGTAGGCTGCAGGTTAACTGCCAATGAAAAGGATCAGAAGAAAGATGTTTACAGCACCAGTCCAAAGCTTATTGATTCTCCTCCTGTATAGGAGATGTTTTTGTTTCCGAAGGGGGGCCACATGTCTTTACATAACCACCGAAATCCTTTTTCCGAAGCTTCGCTAGATCTACATGGATTACCCTGCCATCGAAGTACTAAAAGCAAAGGGAACATAAACTAAGAATTCAAAATCAAACACTAATGGATATCAAGAATGGATGCGATGATGTTGGCAAGTGTTAAACCTTGGAATCCATGTGTTCTAGGGCGAGCATGGCATGTTCTTGAGATGTGTATTGGATAAATGCGTATCCCCTTGATGTCTTTGATCCTCTATCCTTGACAATCTTAACTGATAAGGAGTATAGAAAGAATGAATCAGCAACCAACAGATATGCGGGAGGCAGCAAAACCAAAAAGAATATACCTTCAGCTATCTGACCGAACGTTGAAAATTCCTTCATCAAATGATTTTCATCAGTGGTATATGGCAAATCTGTGGTTCAAAATGCAGAAGTGGAACTTACAAGCTGCAAAAGGCAAAGCTGAACCTCTAGGACCACACATTCACACATCTTATAAAGCAAAAGTGAATCACGAGTAACAGTAGAGTGGAAGTGCAATGAATTTTTAAGAATATTACTAGTATCTATTTAGTCATGCCCAGATCTATCTCCAGGTAAAATTGTGGCCAGTGTCATGGAGATTCTCAAGCTCACAAACCGGCTGGGCTCATTTACCATAAATGTGCTGAACAACAGAACATGAGCTAGAGCTTGAATGCATGTAATTTTTACCTCCACCATACTGTATTTTCCTCAAAAGTACCTTATTATTTTCAATCTTCAAAATGGGTTAGGCAGTTAGGTAGGGAAAAAAAATATCATATGAAGATTGAAATAATGCTGCTTTTTTAAATTTAGGACTTTCAAAAGAGATACTATGCCCTAAAGATGTCAATCATCTACATCCTAAAGATTCTGATCAAAGATTTGAAATTCATGTATCCACCCCCTCTAGATTCATGTGTCTACATCATAATATTTGTACTGAATAGCTGTGGAACAATTCTAGATTTTTCTCACTGATTTTTGAAAAACTATAACTAGCTTGGACACACATATGATAAGGAAAATGAATCCAAGGATCTGATGGCATACAGTATCATGCTACCATTGCCAAAAAAGGAAAAAAAAAAAGAAAAAAAAAAAAAGAAAAAGGCAAACAGAAGAAACTTAATTCAGTGATCAAAAGATGAAATTAACAAGTTCAAATGATCACTTTCATCAAACCTTGGCTATTATATTTATCTTGAATTCAACATTTTGAGACTAATTTGCATCAGATGTTTATTGTGAATTACTCACAAAATGAAAGAAGGTGTTAGACTCAGGGATACAGATCAAGCTATGGGTCAAGAACTGAATGTGACTAGAGATTGAGACCCTAAAGAGTTTGACACTACCTACAGGAAAGTGGAACCTTTTTTTTTTTTTTTTTTTTTTAAATACATATTATGGTTCTTATTAAAGATTATCAGCTTTCTTTTCTTGACATGAAAAAGGGAAGGGTGGAGAGAGACTTCGGAGCTGGATTTGAAATAACACCTTAATGAAAGAATATACTTTTTTATAATCATATTTGGGACTTTCCGAAAAATTTGAACAATTCAAGTCCCCAGAGTTATTAGTCATCTCTACTCAGCACAGAAGATAGTGCTTACTTCAACACGGATAAATGAAATTAATACTACTCAGTACTCACCCCCTTGATAGGCAACAAGTATTGAAACTATCAGAAGTATGTTCTTGTATTTGACATTTAAGCAAAACTGATTGATCACCTCTATCATCTATCTAAAACCGTTGGTTGCGACAATGAGTTGGCACACTATTGCAGACAGAAGCTCAACTTGGGAAAGCTATTAAGTTCTCAAAAGATAACCTTAACGGGTCCAACAAGTTGATTATAACTGCAGCTTACACAATCTGTCATTCCTGGTGGAAAACACCTCGACACATTTATTAATTGAGGCATTATTTTAGGAAAATAAAGCTCCAACAAGGGAGGATTGTTACTACTTAATCCAACTCTTTTAGGAAACTCTGTTAAGGCTGGCATTTTAGTGTTTAAAATGTGGTATCTTAAGATTGTTACAGTGTTACAAATAGATGCCTTATGTGCACATCAGTTGATTCGCTCTTTTCAGTCTTTTGTTAACATTTAACCAAAAAGTTGCACAGAAAGACATAGCCACAAAATACAAACCACATTAGTTTCCTTTATATCAATGTGGAATGTTGGTTCTTGGGGGATAAGCATTACAAATAAGGAATCAAGTTAAAACCAGATAATATTTCTTCCATAAACAAAAGATGTGAAAATCAAAGAGAAATCTTGTTTCAGGTCTCTCTTATATGTTAAGGTTCCCACTTTTATGAGGAAGCCCACCACATTTCTTGAGGTTTCTGTTTCCAAAAGCTTTAAACTTCAACTTTTCAAAGTCTAACAGACAGTAACATAAGCCATCTAAATAATTAGCCATCCAGTTGCAAATCAATAAGGGAAAGAAAGTTGGAGATTATAGACTAAGGCCCATAACTGCGGCAAATTATACCATGGACCAGGGTTTACATTGCATTGTAAACCCTGGTCCAAAAATAACCTTAAAATTTTGTATCTATAGTTGACACATTCTGACCTGTAGTTGATTGTTTCTATACCTGTAGCTATCATATTATGTGTCAGCAATTATCAAGTTAGATTCTGTATCTATAATTGACACATTCTGTACCTGCAGTCGATAATTTTTGTACCTGTAGCTATCATATTATTTGTTTACATGTACATAAACTCTTAACGGTAGATACAAAATGTATTAATTGAAGGTATAAAATTTTTGTATTAGGGTTCCCTGGTCTATGGTATAACAATTGCATAACTGCTACAAGAGAACCAGAACAGAGAAGAAACTCCATAAAGCTTATCTATCCAATCACATAATTATGCACTCAAAGTTATTTACCTAAATCACTGAGACATTCACTGTCATGAGAGCAGAAATTCCTCCGATAGAACTTCCTCATCTATATTTTAACTTCATAAATTATAATTATTCAACTTTCTCCATTTTCCTCACATGGCACCAAAACCCTACACTCCAGGCTGATTAATATCACGAGAAAAATCTGTCCGCACAAAAAATCATATCAATCTCCTTACCAATTGCAAACACCGGTAAATTAAAGCAAGCTCACGAAGAAAATCAAATCAAATACCAAATTAAAAATACAGAATGCCAATCCCATGTTGCTTCATGTGTGTGTATGCACTAAATGAAGAGAATAAGCAATGTTACTCACTGCTAACCATAATCTTGCTGGCAAGAGGGTAACTGTGAATAGAAGCGTGGATTCTCGTTCTCAAGGAGCTAGGGCGGAATGAACACGATGAGGGCGGCGCAACTATCGGCCGGGAAACTTGAAGCGGAAGTGCCGGAGGCGGAGAAAGGCCTGTCCAGATGCTCTTCGCCATTTCACGATGAAGATCCGATTACTAGCCGCTTCAGCGAAGGGGAGCGGTGAAGAAGAGCAGCAGCATATCCTCCTACCCGCTTGCAAAATCAAGAAGAATTACTTCAGGTGCCACTGAGAAATTCCATTGATTTTTAGTTCATAAGATATTACGGAGTATTAGGGAAAATGACACTTTTTTCATGCCATATATACTTATAGCACTTTTTCTTTATGAATTATTCATGTAAACACATTAGTTTCCTCAATTATTTTAAAAGTGACGATTTCACCTATGATATATTGAATTGATATTTCTACCCTTAAAGTAATATTTTATTTATTTTTCTTCTCCAACAAATTATTGCGTATACGTGAAATTTCACTAAATTCCATTACCTTGATAGAAGACTTTTCTAGATTCAACTTTTTCCTTTTTTGGCTCCGATTTTGTGTCCCTTCCCCCCGCTTTAAAAAAAGGATAAATATTAAGCCCTCCCGGCTACAAGTATCTGAGAAAAGAATTACCTAAAGTTGGGGGGGACTCGTACTCTCAAAGTGAGATTCTCCTCTTCCCCTGGATTGGTGCCCCCTGCACTACTTGGTGAAATAGGTTCTTTTAGAATCAATTTAAAATAATCTGCCTATTCCACCGTAACCATATTAGCCAGGGGAGAAGGGGTGTCTCCATACCTTGAGGAACTGGTTATGGTGGGTTCTAAGAGCTATTAGGTTTTCTTTCACGCTTTGGGATGCGGAGGAGCTATTATCATCCCATTCCATGATGAACCCTGAACCTCGAGCGGTATGTATGGTTGTTGACGCGTGAACGAAATCCATTCTTACCACTTTAATAATATGGCCATCTAAAGTTATATCATTTATACTTTTTCGGGAGCAGTCAAGCATTCCAATCCCAGCGGATGAGTTAATAGCAGTAGAGTCGTGAAAAGACCTAAAAGCAGTTGGATCCGGGCTGGGATAGTTGCGCTAATTCTTAACTAGTTGCTTGACCGGACGGATGGGAAATGCTGCGAGCCCTAAGGGAGTAGGTGCTTTCAGGTCTACGAGGGTCTTAGGTCCTAATTCCTTTCACTTTCTTGCTTTGATCTGACAAAGAAAAAAGGCTTTAGGGGGGCTCCTCCGTTGTGGGTAAACGGGAATTCCACCGCAGACTTTCAATGATGGGAATCCTATCGATAAAGAAGAGGCATAAGCATCGCCTCTCAATCCAATCAAGTAGCTCGACTTCTTTATCCATTCAAGTTATAGGCTTTACTATCCTTCAATCAGATTCTTTCATCTTTCATGTCTGGCTATTCTTTTCTTGTGCATCCGTTCAGGGATGACCACAGTTCGGTTCGAACTAAACCGAACACTATAGCAATCGAATTAAAAGTTATCGGTTATGATTCAGATCCAGAACCCAATATTTGGATTTCATTTTATTAAAATTATGAATCTAAAAAACTGGATCTTGAACCGTGAACCGGCAGTTCTGGATCCAGTTCGCGATTATGAACCGTCTTTATTTAAAAAAAAAAAATCAGTTCAAAACATGAACCGGCCGTTCCGGTTCGCGATTTTAATAAACTCTAAATATCGGGTTTCGATTTTAAATTGTAATTGAAATATTTCTGTTTGGTTGCTATAGTGTCTGTTTGGTTTGAACCAAATTGTGGTCATAAACTCATAATTTGTTGGAGAAGAAAAATAAATGAAATATTTATTTTAAATATTTATTTTAAGAGTAAATATGTCCATTTAACATTTCAGGAGAAAAACAACCACTTGAATAATTCAGGAAAAAAAGTGCTATATGTATAATTGTATATAACTCGAGGGAGTGGGGGGGGGGGTGGGGGGGGGGGAGGGGGGAGGTCTATTTTCCCGATATTATTAACATGTACACCACCAAATTAAATTGGAAAAAGTAATTAATATATTTTGTTGTTATTTTTTTTTAATACTATTCACTCTATTACAATTTAGTATCTTTTGATACATACTTTTCCAACCTACTGAAGCATAAAGAGTTAATCCCCCACATTGGGGTTCAACCATAACAATTAAATTTGAAAAGCTATTTTATGTATTTTATTTTCAAATAATAATGAAAAATAAAAGACCATGAGTATAGGAATATATGAGAAATGGAAATAATTTTTTTTTTTTTGAATGCTACTGACTCTATTACTTTGCTAAGTCTCGATGTCATGACCTCCCACATGAGAGAGGTTACTACATGTCATCTGAGCAAAATGTGCTTGGCAAATGAAATTTAAATTTAATACAGAGTATTTAATATTTACCGGGGCGTTTAGTTGAAAAGAAGAAATTAGAGAAAAAGTAATTGTAATTTCGTAGGAAAATAAAATAATCTACCACACACACAGAAACTTTTATATATATATATATATATATATATATATATATATATATTGTTTTTGAGAATTTAAGAAGTAATATAAAGTATAAACATCTTTGCAGTTCAATGTGCAATTGCTTTTTCCAATATAACAATCAGTCAAATAGATCCTTATTTCATTAATTACTTAAAATGGTGGGACTTTTTTTTTTTTTTTTTAATAAAAAAGCATTTTAAAAGATTTTTACAAAGGTAGAACATTTTAAGCTTATTATATGCACTTTAAAAATATTTTGCAACTTTAAATCTATCATATAGTATTAAACAAATCTTACTCATGAATAATGCTAAATAAATATTAGCTAGAAATTCCGAGTTATCATTTGATAGGTATAAAAGCAACAATAAGGAGACAAATGTGCTATAAGACAATGTTATCAATACCACTATCATGTGTTTGTCTATATATTCACTGTACAACTCCACACTTTAAAGAAATATAAGCTTATACAATATCAATCTTCAATTAAATATGAAGTTATTTTTTAAGCTAGGTCCGGCAGCCAAGAATGCGGATTGATAATCTAGAAATAGAAATAGAAGAATGGTGCAGGAAGAAGAAAAGAAAAAGAAGTAAGAAAGTGAGAGAAAATAGGAAAATGATCGAAATTTGAGAGATTTTATTTAGATCTACCACCATATTTTTTACCACCTTTTGTGCGCGAGGGAAAGTAACGAGGGTAGGTGAGACGGACGGACTTGGTCAAACGCCATAATTATCCACCCTTTTCTTATGGTGTTACGGGTTTGATATATATACCTTTTTATTGTCTCGTTAAAACAACACATTCTACATTATAATCATTACACGAATTTTTAATACAAGGCATTCTCATTAAGCTTCATACTTTGTATTTTATTGTTTATACCTTTAATTATTGGTTTTGGTTAATTTCGGTCACCGAGTTAATTAATTCTATTAATAATATTCGAAAAATCTTTTATTATAATAAAGTTTTGTTTTTTGAAAGCAAACCAAAAACCAATATATTAATTTGAACTGAAGCTGTTACAAGAGGGACCACTTAGAAAACGATCGAGGATATAATCAAACAATTCAATTCTGTCTTCTCCTAGGTAACTAAGAGCTCTTTTAGCTAAACAACAAGCCATCATATTGTTACTACGACATATGTAGCGAAAGGAAACCAATGGCATTTGACGCAGCAGCTCCTGAATATCTTCAATAATAACACCAAAGGGTGAAATATTTGCACCCCTATCACTGCTTTGGTCACAATTTGGGCATTAATCTCCAAAAAGACCTTCCTCCAACTCCTGTCTTTTATCCAACTTAGCGCTTCCCTAGCCCCATTGCCTCAGTTTCCTTAACCGTATACAACCCATTCTTGGCAAACATGACCAGCCCAAGGACCACACTCATTATAATAAAGTTTGTATGGTACCTTGTATAAAATTTTGCTTTATAATGAATTAGTTTTGAGATTAATTTAAAAAAAGAAAAAAAAAACTCATAGATCCACCACTTGTCAGACACCAAAATTACCATGGTGGTGCAAAGAGAGTTATACAAAAAAAGTCACAAGGACTAAACTCAATTTCTAGTTATTTATAAGTAATTGGATACACAAACCTTTGAGCTACTAGTCTCGCTTTGTATCACACACTTCATTATTTTTATTCATCTTTCGTACAAATGTCCTTTTGTAACATACATGGTTAACTTTCAATGGTGTACGTGTTATAAAGAGAACACAATTATTTTAGCAAGCTTAGCTATGCCTTAATTGCTTCTTTATATATTAACTAGTTTTACACCCGCATTGCGCGAATGAGTTAATGCCCAATGTTTATAATTAAATAAATATTTGAAAGTAAATCAAATGCAAGATTATACATACATAAGTAATTTAATGTCAAATTTGTTTATTTAAAACTCATAGTATATGAATACAATGTAATATAGAAGATTCATTATAATTGTTACTAACTTTTTTTAAAAATAGTAATCAAGTATTTTTTGTTGCAAAGGGTTCTAATATATTTAATTTAATGAATTGACATATATATATAAGATCAATGAATGAATCAACGGTACCAGTCCTTTAGGTGTTTTGCTCAGTGTTCATTTAATTCAACCATTATTGTTGAATAAATTATTATGGATAAAGCAATTCCTAATTTAAGGAATTTAGATGAAGTAGTAAAATTACAAATTTTAATTATAATGTACCCCAAAGATATTGGACGATTGGTAAATATGATGTAACCCAAAGATCAAAATGCTAAAGAAAGTATTTGGTTGGTTATTCAACAATTTTAAGCAACAATTTGTTCCAAGCCACTGAAAGTACAAACATTGCAATTTACAATATTTTCAATTAACGTTTTTTATATTGATTTCCCCAATGTATACCCCGAGCCCCCGTACCACCGCCCTCCACCAAAACCTGTTGAACATCTTTTCTAGGGTATCACAGACACACACCGGCAGCAAGAACGTCGACATGGTAAAGATCGGGAGTGCTTGCGCTATACTCTTGAGTATAACTTCTTTACCTGCGCGGGACAAAAACCTATGCATCCACAAACCTATCCGGGCCTGCACATTTTCCTCAATGTATCGGAATGTGGCAGTCTTATTTCGCCCCCAGACTGATGGGAGGCCCAGATACCGGTCCAAGTCTGTAGCGGCTCGAACCCCCAAACAATTAGAAATCAAAGTACGCATGTGCGCCACGGTGTTAGAACTGTACACCGCACTTGAC